CTGCAGTATTCCGGCTGTTGAGTTAACCTATAATCCCAAAGCTTTTTTTATGGCTATACAATTGCATGTTTAATTTTTTGCTGTTGTGACTATACCCACACTTTTAGTGATTCGATTTCTATATACTGTTTTTAAAGGTAAAATAAACTGAATCCTAATTAGGTCTGTAACAGCTGTTAACACCCCGGCAGTCAGAGACATTTTTGCGACATGAGGCATATCGCCACCCCATTCTGCCGTCACAAGAAGGTTCTAAGATTGTTAGAAATCTGTGCCTATATATCCTGGAGGTTGTGGATTCAAATCTTGCGGCCAGGACAGTAAATATATTAATGATGTAATGATGGATTGCCATACACTCTTATGTAATATGTAAGACACTAACTTCTACTGCTCTAGGGACATATGCATCTGTTACATGTAAATAAATTGAAAATCGTCAAACACACATTCACAATCATGAGATGAATGGTGCAGGTGCTTTTGAGAACATTGCTTGTGCCAGTAGTGATAGGATGCTGTTGTCACAAGCACATCTGGCTGGTGTTAAAACCTAGAGCCCTGTGTTACACCATTAACAGCTGGAGTGAGTCAACCAGGATGCTGAGGGACCCCATACAGAGCATCAGTGTTGTGTAATTAAACAGCTGGCCATCCTCCACATCATGCATACTGCCTAGGTTATGATGAAACTGAGCTAGTAGCTTGACAGTAAGGGCACCAGTTCCTGGGTTGACATATAGGCATAGTTTTTTTAGGCCGGTGGTTGACAAGTAGATTCAAAGATACTATAGCAGGTAATCAGACAGAACACAGCTTAGATACATAAAAAAATTATGTACTTTCATTAATCCATCTTCTAACCACTCACCCTGGTCAGAGCTGCCTGGGACCCACCCCAAGCAGTACAAGGTCAGGGAACATTCTGGGCAGGATGCCCACCTACACACACAATCATGCAATATAGGCAATTTTAAGATGCCAATTAGCCTAAATGCATTTCTTTGGACCATGGGAGGAAAGTCACATGACACCAGGAGAGCATTCGAACCCCCAACCCAGCAAGTGTGAGGCAACACTGCTACAGTACTAACTGAGCCACAATGCCACCCATGTATGCTTAAAACATCACTCATTATCTTGTTATCTTCTGTTGCCTAGGATTCCTTATCTTAGCTTTAATTTCTATACAGGTTTAGTCCAGGTGTCCCTACCATAATACAACATGAGAAGCAAGGCTTGACAGTGTATCTAAAGTGAGGAAATTAATAACCAACCGCAAACATCAAGTATGAGGACAATTATATCAAAGGTTCTAACAAATAAAAAAGGAAATTTTAAGCATTACAGATAAAATGTAATATATAAATTATTTTTTTTCTGGAATGCGCAGATATTAATAAATGAGATATATATGCTTTCTCTTTACATAACTAGAAAAAAATCCCAAAGAAATTTATTTTAAATTGAAATAAAAAATGATTGCATTCAAAGGCAATGTGTCTATGAAAGCCCTTCAAATTTATGAAACACTTAGCATTGCCTATGGAATTCTCTCAGGAGTACTATAGGATACAAGGTTGTTCAACCAATGTCTTCTTGAACGAGGCTTTTTACATTTCAAATTAACTAATATATATATTCTTGGCAGCTGTGCTGGCTAACAATATAAAATATTGTCTAAAGTAGGAAATACTTAAAACAACCAAACCCTAAGTTTAATATCAACATGTGCATCAACTACCTATAAATACCCAAGGTTCTTGTAATCCTGGACATTTCCAGAACATCTTCAGAGCTTATTACAACTCAGCCAGAAGCCGTAGGCCACGTAAAATCACAGAGCGGGGACAACGTATGCTGAGGCGCACAGTGTGCAGAAGTCGCCAACTGTCTGCAGAGTCAATAGCTACAGACCTCCAAACTTAATGTGGCCTTCAGATTAGCTCAAGAACAGCGTGTAGAGAACTTCATGGGAAGGGTTTCCATAGCCATGCAGCTGCATCCAAGCCTTACATCACCAAGTGCAAAGCAAAGCGTCAGATGCAGTGGTGTAAAGCACGCCGGCACTGGACGCTAGAGCAGTGAAGTCTTGTTTTCTGTAGTGATGAATCATGCTTCTCTGTCTGGCAATCTGATGGACGTGTCTGGGTTTGGCGGTTGCCAGGGGAACACTACTTGGCTAACTGCATTGTGCCAAGTGTAAAGTTTGGTGGAGAGGAGATTATGGTGTGGGGTTATTTTTCAGAGGTTGGGCTTGGCCCCTTAGTTCCAGTGAAAGGAACTCTTAATGCTGCAGCAGTCGAAGCCATTTTGGACAATTTCATGCTCCTAACTTTGTGGGAACAGTTTGGGGATGGCCCCTTCCTGTTCCAACATGACTGTGCACCAGTGCACAAAGCAAGGTCCATAAGGACATGGATGAGCGAGTCTGGTGTGGAGGAACTTGACTGGCCTGCACAGAGCCCTGACCTCAACCCGACAAAACACCTTTGGGATGAATTAGAGCGGAGACTGTGAGCCAGGCCTTCTCATCCAACATCAGTGCCTGACCTCACAAAGAATCCTGGAAGAATGGTCAAAAATCCCCATAAACACACTGCTAAACCTTGTGGACAGCCTTCCCAGAAGAGCTGAAGCTGTTATAGCTGCAAAGGGTGGGCCAGCTCCATATAAAGCCTATGTGTTAAGATTGGGATGTCAGTAAAGTTCATGTGTGTGTAAAGGCAGGTGTCCTAATACTTTTGGCAATATAGTATATCTGGTATTAAACATGTTCTGTGTAAATTATTGAACTGGATTAGTCACTGACATGTGGAAACCAATACTGTCTACATTCTTTCCATAACTCTGTCCCACTCTAAAGGATGGCAGGTACAGAATAAATATTTCTTCCATCTCAGCCTAAGTGTAGTGGTATCAAATACTGGGAAACATTTCATGATGACATCATAAATCAGAAAGTTTATCCCCTTAGGACCAGATATCTGTTGATATTCAGTTGGAGAGTCTTTTGGAGCCACTGGGGAAAAGCTGGGTATATTTCCTTTGACCCAGTGCTGTACATATAGAAAAATATGGTTGGGAATACGCAAGGTTTCTTAAATCTGCCCAGAGCTAAAGAACTTGATAACACAAAGATCCCTTATAATCTTATTATTGCTTTTTATTGATTTTTAATAGCCTGCCACTCATATCTTCAAAGTTGTGCAAGAGACAAGTTGTCTTGAAAATGGTAGGTTTTTAGTTAAACTAATATGCCCTTCAAGCTCAACAATGGAATGCCTTATAATGAAATGTGTTCCTTTTCGGAACACTACTGAAACCCATCTGGGACCAATAATTTTTGGATGCAGCCAAATACATATAGATTGCAACTCTGAGACTATGTAAGAGTCTTCAAAATTAAGTGGTCAAAGTATGGTGCATATAGTTTACCCACCCCCCACACATGCTGAACTGTATTGCACATGCACTGCTAAAATGTGCGACAGATTACCTAGGTCAGCTGAAATATAACAAAGTTTTCATTTTCTCAAGAAAGTCATTTTTACAGGAAAAAGTGTTTATTTACAGGAATAAGATCAAATCTATAAGACAGAAACTCCCTAGAGTGTTCTAAACAATCTCCTCCGAATGGAATTTCTTCCAAACCTAGAAAACAAGGCACAGATCCTAGATGACCATGACAGTTCCAGTTAATGCCAAATGAAAAATGCAGAGCAGTTTCAAAATGCCCCGTTTCTGTTTTACAGGCTTGATATGTGCATCTTTAATGTCCAGAAAGCCTGCAGACTGTATCAGAACATGCGCGTGCAGAGAATCTAATTTTGATTCATGCATCTGTTGGTGGGGAGCTAATGGCTATCCAAGTAAAATATACTGCAGTGTCTATTTCTGTTACTTGTATGCATTATTTATTTCCAATAACAAAGTTAATCTGTGTCACATAGTCTGTCTTAAAGCTATTTATCATCATTTACCATTGCACTGTATTGCACTGCATTGCTGGACTGGAGATCCACATTATAAGAAGACCATGTAAAACCTTGGGGAGAGAGCAGTGCAGATCCACATTCTCCAATGACCCATTTTACCATAAAGATTTTGACAAGGTGCAGAATAATAAATGGAAGCAACATCTGTTGTTCCCCATCTACACCCTTGTACCACAATTTCTTCGATGGCAGACCATTTTTAATAGGATGTAGGAGAGGAGACCAGTGAAGTGTTTTGTGAGGCCAGGGATGCAGTTTGCAATGTCCCCAATCCCTAAATAAACATTAAAGGGAAGCGGTGCATCTAGCAGCTTCAGAAGGCAAACTGAAGATGGATAATTAAACAAATACCCTGGACTGTGTAACAAGCTCTTTAATTAGCTGGCAAATTACCACTCGTTTCTTCTTTTTCTAACTAGGATTTGTCCCTGACAATTTAATCTAGAAGTAGCGCTTTGCCAGTATATTTCTGGTCACTGGCCAGATAAAAGCCAGTGGCTAATGATTTAGAATAGGTTTTCAGACAAGCTGCCCAGATCTTTCTGTAGAACAAACACCTAATTTTCACAACAGACATCAGCAATGAGTCAAAGAACAAGAAAACTGGAAAGACTCAGTGAAGTCCTGTTCTGAAGTTACTTGAAGAGGAACTGCAGTTAATTGCTTGTCTCAACTGCATGTGGAAGCATGGGACGGAAAAATAGACAAATAAGACCCACATTTGTCACTAAGGGGCACCCAGCTGCATGGAGCAGATTCATGCAAAGAGGGAATGGATTGGTTCTCCCTGGGCATCCAGAGAAAATACTCCCTCCAATCTGTTAACCTTGGTTTAAGTCACGGTGGGGTCAGTTACTGTTACCAACTACAAGAGTAGGCAAGTTGGAAGGAACACCATCAGGAACACCATAATACAGGTGTAGGATTGGTGTGTTTTTAAATGACATAACAAAATGTATTATTCATTAAGGATTCTGTTCACATATTCCAGAATAATCAACATCACTTATGGAATGAAACTTTATTATGAGGTGCAAAGTTTAGTGTAAGTTACAGTTGAACAAGAAACACTGACTACAAGACAATAAGGAAGATTTCCATGCTGAAATGAAGCGTAAATCCACCAGCACTTAAGTCAAGTCAGTCGATCGCCTACAAAGCGCCGTCCGGGTCTCATTCAGAGGGAAGCGAAAGCGGCACAGAGACAAGGAACAAGCAACACAGGGTCTCCAGTGAGCCGGAGAAAGGGGGGGCTCACTGCCAGCCGCCTCATGCGGTAGTCTTCTTCTGAGACAGGTTGATCTTGTCCCCCAGGCTCAATGCCATACCCTATGGAAAAAGAGTGAAGGGTTTGACTTTTGATTCCTGTGTCACCGGTCTTGCCATTAGTATGTGTAAGTATTGGCTGTTAGTATAGTCAAATACATGCTAAGTAGGGCTGCATGTTATCGCGATTATATGGCGCTTGCACAATAATCACCAGGGCTTCAGATGACAGCCGTAGACATTTATCCAGACATCGGCTTTTCAGTACTATACGCATGTTTATTTACGCCCACAATTTGGTAAGCAGATTAGTGGTTCACCTAACATATAAATTCAGTGTATCCTTATGCTTATTAAATTCAATTAGCGGAGCACACCACATGCTACTGTTTTGGTAAATCTTGTAAGCGGTAAGCACTGAACTGGTGGTGAAGAAAGGGACAGCCCAGCAGCAACAGCATCTTTTGAAATAGGAGATATTGTGTCTATACATGGAAATAAAGACGTTGCTGGTATGGTCGTCCATATTTAAAAATTTTTTTTTTACCAATTTACACCACTGGACATTTTACTAGAGAACTTTTGTGAAACTGCTTTGTTCAAGAATATAACGGTAAAGCTTTGCCTGGGATATGATCTGGCAACCTTCATCACACAATAACTCCGTTCAAAGGTGTGGGTTGCCAGTGACGCAATACGCCCGCTATGTGGTTGGTGAGGGCTGACTGGGGGCCCACCTGGCTCTTGGCCCGGATGCGGATGTGGCCATTGACCGGTGCGTCGGGGCCCAGGTGGATGGGCTTCTCAATGCTGACGTTGGCCAGTGCGTCCTCGCCAAAGATGGAGCGTGCGTACAGGTTGGCGGCCATGAAGCCGCAAAAGCCTGAGAGAGCCTGTGCAGGGGAGGGCACCAAACCTTATTTTAGAAAAACTAACAAAGCAAAGGATAAAGCAACATGTGTGTAAAAAAACCAACATGTTCATTTATAAGTGGTAATAAATAATGTAAAAATAAGCCCTGAATAGTGCAGGAATGCACACTGATGAGGTTACGCCCGTAACTGCACCCACCTTCTCTGGGGTCAAACACTTCATGTTCGTAGAGCTGAGAATGTGCTGCAGGTAGTCATTCAGGTCCGTGATGTTTGTGTTCACAGTCACCTGGAAACAGCACAGCAGCACTGACGGGAGGGTGCATGACGTCTGTGCCCCTTCCCTTTGCCCATGGTACTGCCGACCCTGTGCTCCCCCCCCCCCCCGCCGCCTGAGTACCTCAGACTCCGGCCCCTCCCTCTACCTTGTTCTCCCATTCGAACTCGGCCCACATTTGCCGGAATTCGGCGTCGGTGCAGGAGGCGGGCTGGATGTAGTCCATGATGTCTATATGGATGTCGCTTAGGACCACGCAGTTCCTGTCGCTGGCTGCCCCAGAAATGTCGTACACTGAGGACACAGAGGGTCCAAACTGAGTCAACGCAAAGTCCCCTTTTATTAAACAAAACATGGACTAACAGCAAGCAAACTAGCACCAGAGAATTTTCCAGTCATTACACTGTTACCGTCTTACCTATGTTCCCAAAGATTATGCCATTCTCTGTCGAAGCCACCTTCACATTGGCTTTGATGTTGGCAAAATCATGGGGTGCCAGCGTCAGCGGTGACGGCTTCTCCACCAGCTTCAGGTCACCTGGTGTTGTGAGCAGATATTATCAGGCGTTATCAACTCACAGGCTTGTACTTAACGTTTGGTTCCTCATTTAACAAGTTACCAGCTGAGCTTGTGTGGAAAAAATACGCTGAGACCCTTTTAATAATAGCTTCTAATTAACATATGAGAAAAAAACAGCATTGTGCTGTAAATGAGGAGCAGAGGGTGGTAATGGCAGGCAAATATCCTGAGATTAATGACAACATGATAGGAAAATGATCAGTCACAAGCAGCCGATGTAATGGCAGGAAATGCTGGACTAGTGCATTACAAGCCATCAAAAGGCAGACATGCCTTTATGTGAATTACCGTAAGAGCTTGCCTGCATGAGCCCACGTCCCATACTACAAGCACAAATCCTCGCTCTCTAGGTCTTACAGTTGGCATATGTTAGCCTATAACAAGGCGTTGAATGAGTCGAAGCTACATGCACTTGCAACTAGGACCAGTTCCAGATTGATGACGATGACAGACAAACAGGTGATTATGTATATCACTCACACTTGGTTCTGTGGTGTAGCAAAGTGGGGTTTACAGAGCATCACAAGCGACGGTGATGATCACAACGGTACGTGTCAACATTCCGGAACATTTGCTGTAGCTCCACAGAAACCCACCCAGTGTTGCGAGCTCCAGCGTACAGTTCTGTAGGGTGTCGCTGGTCTGGTTGACAACCAACACATCCAATACTATGTCGTACTGGTTGACGTGGACATAGGCCTCGGCGTAAACAGGGTCTGAGAAGCCGGTCAGCTGAGTCACCTGCAATGAAACACGCACACAGGTCACCTGACAGTGCTTCCAGGTATGGTAAACAGCAACCAATAATACTACAGCTACTAGACAGAGCCTCTGTGAACTTAACAATACTGAGGTCTGAAGAGGACCATTTACTGTATAAAAATACCTTCTGGAATTTGTGCGGAACGTACCAACAACATTACTCTTTTGACCACAAGTGCCATCTACTGGTAGCAGTGGAGATCTGCATGTTTATATCACACCACACAACATTCACAAAATAATGCAGCTTTACCAGACCAAAACAAGGATGTGACTAGAAGGAGTTTCTATTAAAACTGTCATATTTGTGTGACTAAGGCTTAACTTAGGGCAGTGTTTCCCTACAGACGGTCCACATTTCTGCTCCCTCCCAGCTCTCTACCAGAAAAAAACGTGGAACGTGTCTGGGTCCCCAAGCATCAGGAAACACTGACTTAAGGTATAGAACAGCTTCTATTAGTCTTTCTATGATGAATGAGGATATTATGGTTAGAAATGGGCCACCGTACATAAAGGCAGCTGAGCACTATGTAGAAGGTACAGGAGAGTGCACCTTGTTGAGCTTGGAGGCCAGGGGGTCAGCCGCCTCCTTCCTCTGCGTGTTGCCCATGGCTGCCAGCAGGCTGAGCTGGAACTGGTCCTCCTTGGAGGCCATCTCGCTTTTTGCAGTGAGCTGCATGAAGGAGATGGGGTCGTCTGCCTGCACAGTCACGCTCCGCTTCTCCGACTCTTTCTGCGGTTGGGGAAGACATTTACGGGACACGTCAAGGTGCAGAGCAGACACCATAAAGCACATCAAGCACTGCGGAGATGCGGCCAGGGCCACAAGAGAGACTCCTACAAACAAAGGACTTTTCAGTTTGCGATTCAAGGACAAAAATCCTTCCAAAATAATATCCATTTCAAGTCATGTGACAGGAAGAGTCTTTAGAGAAAACAGAGGGAGACATGAGGAGATGAAGTCTTGGACATGTTTTCTGCAGCCAGTGCGAGGCACATACCTTCTGCGAGAGCTTCTCCTCCTCCAGCTTGACCGCTAACATGTGTGACAGAGACCTGCGGCACTCCTTGTTGAAGATGTCGTCCATGAGAGGCGAGCACTCGGACAGCACCTTGAGGCACAGCGAGATGCGGTCCACGTCGTCGTCCGTGATCGGCTTCTTGGGCAGCGTCGTCTTGCCCAGGTGGAGCACGGTGGCCATGATCAGCATGGACTCAGCTACAAAGGACTGTGGGAAACATTTGGATGAGGGCAGATGGACGATGCAAGTTATTCCAGAATGCTGGGGAGTAATTATCAAAAAAAAAAAACAACAACAACCCATGCTCAACAGAAAATAACATCAAAACCCTACGCTGCCTAGGACTGGCTTCAAGACCCTGAACTGAATAAGTGGCTGAGAATGGATGGATGCATGGATGGATGGATGGATGGATGGAAACCCATCTGAACCACTCACGTTCTGGTTTCTCTTTTCTGGAACAAGAGCTACATAACGCAGAGCCAGCTTGGTCAAGGTTGTCGCCAAGGAAGCCGCAACATAGAAATCTCCATCCATCAGGAATCCCCTGAGAGGCGGCCTACGGTGAAAGGTGCAGGCATGTCCCATCAGCAAACACCAGCTGCGGCCCAAACTGAGTTTCATATTGCAAAAGCATTAACTTACTGCGGTCATATACACATTTTAACAAATAGCAATTTGCACGGAGCAAAATATTTGGCATAGTGCATAACATATAAAATGAGAAACAAATATTGAGGCAATGAAGTAAAATTAAACTCGCAGCCTATTCATGATACTTATATTTTAGACCAAGAGATGAAAATGCTTCCGTGTAATGCTTTCATGCACTGCCAATTATGATAGAGCATTATGTTTTTGTTTTGATATCTCCCCAACTTGTTGAGAATAAGTACTGGGATAAATATGTGCCAGGTGTCTTTCTGAATGAACTGCCCTGTAGCAGGGGCAGCATGTGGCTCAGCGGACTAAGCTTCTGCGTTTGTGACCAGAAGGTCACTGGTTTGAGCCCAGCCTCAGAATGTCTGTGGGTCCTTAACCCCCAGCTCCCTGGGCACTGCTGTGGGTGGCTTTTGCGACCAGCTTGTTCTCACCTACAGAGAGCAAGGTGGGGGAGGCGTAAAGAGAATTTCCACATGGGGATCAATAACGTATCCATTATTATTATTATTAAAAGCGCACATAAGAGACATGTGAAGTTGTAGCTATTGGAATTTTCTTTTTGAGTCTGGTTTTGAGATTAAGGCAAACCTCAGTTATAACTAATACAAAACAACTGGACATCGCAAACTTGACAAAAAGTAAAAGATAGCTGAGAAATACCAAAGGAGTAGCAATGTGTGCAAGGAAGAATAGAGCATTCTGTTGACAGAAATATCATTAGCGCTGAGAAGCTTTAAACGAAACAGCCAACGGAATTGCGAACGATTTGCAGAGTGCAGAAGTACCAGGATTCCCAGACTACTTAAAGAGGATAAATACAGCTAAGGTTAGAGCGGAAGGTGCAGACCATTACTGGGCCCTAGGAAAAGACGGACAGGATGAAGGATGGGCTGGAAGTGTTTTATGCGCAAAGCGATAGGAAGGGATAAGTGTGGAGGAAGAGGGACTGAAGACGTCCTTAAACACACCACCATCTGTGAAGTATGAGGGGGTGGGGTCTCATGGTCTAGGCACAGCAGGCTCACCACTTTTTATTGATGATGTAAATGATGGTAGCAGCAGAATGGGTTCTAAAATATACTCGATAGTTTTGTGTTTCCATATTCAAAAAAGTGCTCACAATGCATCAAGATAACAACCCAAAACATACCAGGGCTGGAAGGTCAAACTTTGTTCTTTGAATAAAACCCTTAAAAATCTGTATTTTCAGAGGCAATAATCCACATTATAACTTTTGAAAATGTATGTAATCAACCATTAAGCCATCTAACGCACGGTTCCTCGTTTTTGTTTCGCCAAATTGCCGTAATCACTGTATGGGATCTGCCACTAGGGACAGACTGCCATAAACGTAAGATAGCCGAAACGGCAAAACTAAAGTATCTCACAAAAGTCAGCACACCCCTCACATTCTTGCTGAAAGGAGTTTTACCAGGTGCACTGATATCATAACAGTAGCCTATTCTAAAATGGCGATTAATGCATAGGATTAACGTTAGGCTACATCAATAGTCTACATCCATACATACACTGCTGCCAACTTGCCTTCGCCATGGTCTGTGTTGATTTGAAATCTGTGGCTGCATGCATGCGTTACAGTACGTTGCGCGTAATATCAAGGGAGGGAAATATTCAGTCTGCCTCCGATTTTCCCATAACACATTGAAAAAACTGAAATGAATGAAATAAATAATTCCATGAAATGAACATTGTTCACGAGTCACAACACCCAAGTCCAACTCAAGTCTTTGTTTGTGCGACTTACGTGTGACTCGAGTCCGAGTCTCAGACTCGAGTCCCCATCTCTGGTTTGAGGCAGTTACACCGTGTAAGGGGCAAGCAACAAAATACTAAATTCAACTAGGGCCGTAACGGTACACATATTCATCATGTACCTTTCAGCACAACATTTCCGTTTCGGCACACACAATAAAATGAAGGAATACATTTATTGACATGGGTGGAACCCTGTTCAATATGGAAAACATTATGCTAATTATAGCCGTGTTTGTGTAGCTGTTGTGGTTACGGTTAATGCTCCAGAGGGGGAGAGAGCAGTTGATAAGACCAAGACTGTCTATTGGCTCTGTTACACTGAACTTGGTTATGTTGCTGGCGATGACATCATATGAGTGTGTGTAAGGCCAGAGTAAGGCAGAAACAACCTCAGTAAGTTAGTCTCCCTGTGCAGCTAAGGTGCTTATGCCAGGAAATTCACACCAAGCTCAAATAAAATTAAAGATATATGTGCTTATCGCTACAGAAACGGACCATACTCTGTACTGGAGAACAAAGGATTTAGTTCATTAAAGTATTTTTTTACAATGTGGGAAAAAAGCATCCCTTAGATTTTGTCATTCAGGCATGCCGACAGACACACTGCCTTTGGTTTAAGACTGTTCCAACTGAGTTCGCAATTTTAATAACTGCAAAACAAATTCTGTTTTTCTGCTGTACCCAATTTGCACCAAACTGAATTCAAAGTGGAGGTTTTTTACTGAACTGTGAATTGTGTATAGTTACACCCCTAACTTCAACATAAATTTAAAATGTTTTAACATTTATCTACCCCAGTACTAACGCTCATCTGAAACTGGGGGGCCAAAAACGAACAGATACACTGTTCCAACATGGCTTAGGATGTATGAAAAACATCACCAGAAATAAAGCTAATATTCTGTGCTTCTACCTCATTATCATCATGTGTTCTGAAATACACACTGAATATACCATAAACAACTAATTGGGCTTCACTGTGCTTGCAGTTCTGCCCTCATCATGCATGACGTCACGTCACACACTGCAGGACATGTAAGCTATCGGGCCGTGACACTGAACCCACGTGGCCAGAGCCTCCTACCTGTCCTCTGCCTTCTTGGAGGGCCGTGAGGAGCTGAGCGCACTCTGTGTGACGTAGGTGCCCATCTCGGTCACCAGCTTCGGCGTGGGTACTGCACTCAGCTCCTCCTCTGGTCTAACCTCGCCCAGCTCCCTCTTTATCTCGTTCTCCACGATCGGGATCTGAAGAAGGAAGATGGACGTCCCTGAACTGTGTTTTGCCAAATTAGGCAAATAAATTATCAGTGATGAAAGAGAAGTCCTCCTGGTGTTGGAACAGAATTCAAGCCCGTGATAGACCAACCTCTCCGAGGGACCGGCGGACCTCCGTCATGACACTCTGGATATCGTCCTTGGTGCTGCAGTACTCTCCCAGAATCCAAAGCGCCCCCCGGTAAATCCTGAAACCACAACGTACCACTGTCACCAGTGTCATACATTAGTGTAGCCAGGTTTTATTAGTAATGGCTTCGCTTCATTAGCTCCCCTCCCATTTGATCATGTGACTCCGCTCTTTTTGGGGCCTTACTTGACAGTCTTGATGGCATGAAAGACCTCCAGCATCTTCTCAATGATGAGCGGCCTTAAGCCCTCGAACCTCTGGACAGCCTCCCTCACAAACTCCAGGACGTCAGCAGCGGCGGCCTCGTTGGAGTCACTAAGGAACTCCATCAGCTGACGGACAAACTCCTCATCAAGTCACTGCCTCATTAGACCATTTAAATAAACACACGTATACCGCAGTATCTGAGCTCCTGCCTAAACGAGCCGCATACATTTAACACTCGAATCTGATGTCGAAGGGAAGAAGTCCAGGTTTGTTGAGTGCTACCTGAACGTAGCGAAGCACTGTGGAGAAGTATGTCAGATTTGCACACGTACCAATTCGCAATAACAAATCATTACAGTGATAGCCCATTGCAGCTGGTAAATTGTTTTTTTTGTTTTCATTTGTTACATAAAGGTGATTATTAAATGTCTGTTACACACAGACATTACAATCATCTTTCCGCATGGTAATCACAAGGAAATGTGTTGAAATTGGTATTTTTGAGAGTTAGGGATATTTTGGGGAGATTAGGGTTTCTTGGAAGCACTTGGGATTAAATATTATTTTTCCCCTAAGAAATAACGGAAATGGCTTCTTATTATTCGAGCTGGCATTATCTGAGAGGTTTCTAGGAACCAGTTACGCCTGGGAGGTAGGGTGTGAGTATGTGAACATTCATAATGAAGTACATCTCCGATGACAGCCCATAACCCCGAGGTGGGCTAACTCACCACAGGGATGACAGTGACTGCCATGTCAGGGAAGCGCACACTGCAGGAGTGCAGGGTGCGCACTAATAGCTGTCTGTACTTGTCTGTGTCCTCGTGCTCCGTCACATTGTTGGTCTTGATGACCTCCTTCTTCAGAACTATAACCAGCTAGGAACCCAAAAAGACGAGGCAGGCTAGAACATAACTTTATACCAGACAACTAAAGCGACTCGCACACCACGCAGACACACCTCCTCCACGTTCCGCGTCGAAACCAAGTCCAGAGCAAGCTGCAGGGTCTTTTTCCGGACCTCTAGGTCTGGTGTAGTCAAAACTCGCAAGATGTCCATTACCAGGTCCTGAGCGATATATGAAAGCATAAAGACAACATTCATAGTAAAGATTAGGAAGTAAGCACTTCATAATCATGCCCAACCTATACATCGAAACTCAATGTCGATCATGAAAGCTTGTAGAAATACATTCAGTGAACTTTCAGTTGGACCAATTTTCACTTTTCAGGATACCAGCTTATAGTTTCTGATATGGCAGTTCTAGCACCACGGTGGCTAGTGTTCTCACTAACAAAAGAGATTTCCCACAGGTAGGTCAAAATACCTGAAGCACACGCTCATGAGTAGGATGCTCTTTCAGCTCGATCAGCCGGTCCAGGACAATCAGCTTGACATTGTTGTCACTCTCCTTGATTATCAGATCGATGTAGCACTGGGCAGCAGCCTGCAAGGAACAGGTCCACCAGTTAGGGTCAGGTGGTCACATGACCATTACGTCAGTAGGCACTGAGAACCCGGTAAAGATGGGTCTCAGCATGGCTTGGTAGGCTCACCTTGATGGCCGTTGGTGCGCTGGACAGGGTGACAAGCGTGCCTGCTGCCTCATACTTGACGGCAGGGCTGGAGGACTGCAGCAGGTTGTATATACAGCGGATGAAGCGGGCACGCTCTGAGGGGTTGGCGTGGCAGACCTGCGAGCAGGCAGGACAGTGATGGAAAGCACAGCACATGGACGCATAAACACCAAGGACTGCAGAACTGTTCCCTATTACTGCACAAGGAACACTTACAAACACTGATACATATACTGTTTATATAAAGCTCTAAACCAAAGGATTAAAAATATTAACCAAGAAAAATGGCAGCTTTACGGAGCTCTACAGAATTTTGTCACCAAAATCTAGGGCTATTACAATGTGTACACTATAAAAGCTTCACTCATACTCCTTTTACCTTGTAAATCAACTCTACAATAACAAGCTGAAGGATGTCTCCAAATGTGTGGACCTGGTCAATGCAGGTGCTGAGGTAGTCCAGAGCACGATCCTGGAGCACGGGCAGGAAGCAGTTAGGGCTCATACAAATAAAATTACTGTACCTTGGACAAAACTGATTTAATTTCAATACAGCACAAAATGTTATCTTTCAAGTAATCAGGCACTTATTTGTGTATGCACTTTGTAATCGAAATACCATAGACAAAAATGGAAAGCAGCGTATTACATTGTCATTGAAAATTGTAGTATTAAAAGTGTATGCTGAATTTTAACAAGTGTGTTTACAACAAAACAGTTCAGTCTACAGCAACACACAAAATACTTAAAAGTATTACAAAGAATCATTTATTAATAAAAGTAAGACTTGTGCATAAACATATATAATAAAAATATTGTAATGCTTTATACAGTTTTATAAAAGCCCAAAACTATGGTTAAACCTTTCACCTCAGACATTTACCTGGTCTGCATGAATTAACATCATGAAAGCATTTCTCTTGCAACTGGCATCTTTCTCATTGACAAGAAAATCATGGATCAGCTCTGGAGCATCTGGTATCAAATGCTCAAAATTCCTTAAAGAAAAACAAAAGAATAACAAATCACATTATAATATGAACTTTCTCCATTCTCCAATCAGTTCCCTAGATACTAAACCAATGAAATCAGGCAGGGCCAGCATGAAGGCAAATAAAAAACTGGCACCTGTATATGGTGTAGATGGCCAGCACAGCATTCCTGCGCACGTAGCTGTGCCTGTGCTCCAAACAGGCACGGATGGCCGGCATCAGCGGCTCAAGCAATTCGGATTCCTTCAGCTTGCACAGGAAGCGCAGCGTGGACCCACGGATGAACTCGTTGGGATGCTGCAAGTCCTGGAAAGGCAGAGGGGGGAGGCACAGTTTCCTCAGTGAGAACCCAAGAAAAGCCAGCAGCGGCCCAATGGACATCTGCAGTGAGCAGCACCAGCTAAGCGCAAGTTTGATGGTAAGGTTGGGTGTAAAGTGTAACTTAAATCATAGGTTGAAACTAGCGCTGCATTCCTTGCTAGTTGCACCACTGATACTTAAGCCACAACATACAGTACATTTACATGCACACTAAGAAAGTCAACTAATACTGGACTTTTAAAGTACATGTAAACATGTTAGTTCGACTGAAATTGTACTAAAATTTCTCAAAAGTCAGAATAGAACACCCAGATAACGCGATTGGAAGTCGATTTACTCCTGCATGTATACGTTCAATTGGACTCAAACTGGCCCTACTATGCTCCACAGTAACAAGAAGCCAGTACACAGAAGAAGCACGGAACATAGCAGAGGACAAGCAGCACATGTGAAATGTATAGTTCTGTAAAGCTGTCCAATTCACTGCTCAACTAAAGGGCACTTTTCCACCGCACCCAGTACTGTACTTTTGGTACTTCGAGAAGGTACCAAAAGTGCAGTACTTCAAGATGTTAGTTTTCCACTGCCATAAGAACTGGCGCCAAATGATATCACAACGCAACTGAATTCGAGAAATGGCTGTATTAGGACTGGACGACATGCAATATTAATACCAACATCGTATGTAATAACAATTCTTACTTCGCTAGTCAGCTAGATTAAGATCAGGCTTTTTCTTACCTTCAATTTGGTAAGAATATTATAGCGCAGGGGAGTTTAAGTCTCACTAAAACATTTTTACTCTGGCACAGGATAAAAAAACCTAGCAAGTTTTGCAATTTTAATGATTATTCATTTTCAGGATTATCTAGTATATATTTAAAAATAAGTTTAAATTTTACCTCTGCTGCTTTTGCATGAGTGCTGCATGTGTTTCCATGAGATCACAAGATTACAAAAAATTCTCAGGAAAACAAAAGTTGACACACAAACGGCATTTACCATTAGAAGGAGGGAAGCGTGTTGCACTAAAAATGCCATGGATAATGCTACTGAATCTGTGCAGTCTTTTGTTATTGCATTCCCACCGACAGGGCAACAGATTTTTCTAGCTTGCCAGCTAACGTTAACTGGCTGACATATCAAGCTGAAGACCTTGTTTTATCTTGCATCAGCGGAAAAGGTAACGTCATTAAAATTCTCTCTGATAATGTTATACTATTGCATGTTAAAAACAAAAACGTTTTGTTAGGAAAATGGCACATTAGTAACTAACCTAACGCTTAAACTTTTTTGCTTTATGATATAACTTAGTGTTATGTTGAAACTATTTGCATGGAGCAACAGATTTTTTTTTTAGTTTGCAAACTTGAACATAGAGGAACTTTATGTCCACTGAAGGGTGCAATCGTGTTTATGCGTAGCTGCTGCAACCCACTGCTGGGGCGGCTCCTTTTACAGCCTCTCCAGCAGTACCTTTCTGTAGGCATCGCAGACCAGAATCATCTCTTGCAGCAGCTTGCCATCTGGGGTGGTCTTGGGCACGATCTCCCAGAAGACCAGGAGCAACTTCTTGATGGTGTGGTCTTGCAGTGGGAGGACAAAGCGGATGATGGTCATCAGCAGTCCAGGCAGCTTCTCCCCATTCAGGATCATGATGATCACCTTCTTCAGCGCTTCAGTTTTTGCTTTGATCTCCCCCTTTTCTATATGAAACCACAAAAACATCATTTATAACCATCGAAAATACTGTAAGTCAATAAGGTGCATATTCATTTACACAAATAATAGAAGTAGAATGTTGCTTAGTGATGATTAAATATTCTATTTGGTTCTAATTTTCCCAACAATGACAGAACCATCTTACCTAGGTCCGTTTTGAGACTGATTTCCGATGGAGGTTCGGAGTCCGACGCAACATTTATGAGAGTGTAACACACATTTTCCGCGGCTGTCATTGTGCCAAGCTGCTCTTCTTAGGCACCTCCGATGAATACTCTCTGTCAATGACTGACTTGTAAGAGAAAAAAAGTCTATGTGAATCAACATACCTATACACATGATCACATGGCCTTAGTCTGTATTTGTATCAGTTTTATATAATAAAGATCATAGCTGAGTAAAAGCTGTATAAACAAGTTCCTGCATGAATAATGATAATTCAATATAAAAATTATAGTTGATCTGTAGGTAATAATCAAAAAAGGTTGGCTGGATTATAAAACGAGGAGGTAGAGTTTATTATATATACAGTAGTACTTCCACCAGAACAGTACTAGTTTATAAAATAATACTATAAGACGGAGTTAAAATCGCCAGTAATATTTCCCTTTAAAATGGCGAGTTTATCAATTTAAGCTAGAACAACTCTATCATTTCAAGCAATGACAAAGAAAAAAACAAATCCATAATAATAATAGACATCCTGTCGATAATTTAGTAACGCGGGTCGACCCATCTACCTAATGACACTACGCAAAACAGCCACGTAACTAGCAATCTTGGTTAAGCAGTTGACAAATCGAAATCAGTTAATTTCACGTTTAAACGAATTTAAATACTATAGAGACACTAAGAGCCACGTTCATGTGCTACTAGCTACAGAAGAATTTATCTGGACTTGGCCTGTGAATGACCGGAACACATTAATTAGCCAAGCTGCTATTAAGACAAAAAAGGCACAATGCTCCATGCTTTATGCAAAATATTCACATCGCAATTTTAATGAAATAGGCAGCTAATAATTATCTTGCTGGCGGTTTTGCCAATTTATTAAGTTCACTTATTTCACTTTCACCTGGCTAGCAAATAGCAAGCAAGCTAGCGAGAAAATAAATGACAAAGACTATACTGCTGAATCTGGCCACACAGTTTGATAGGACAAAACCAAAAACGACAGAAGAAGGCTACAAAACAACATGTGACCACTTAACAAGGTGGAATTGTATATTCTTTTTTATGAACTAGCCATTTATTACCTTCCAGACAGTTACCCGCCTGTGCTCTTCCTATGATGTGTCTCCGGCTGCCACCGGCCGTGTCTCTGACGTGGAACTCCTCAGTGGGCCACATCGATACTACGGGCAGCGGCGACGACCAAACAGAACGAGGCTAAAGCGCAGCCCGCTGCTTCAGTCTTTAACCTTTTTGCATTCTTTAGGCGATTTTAATGAAAGCTCCCCAAAGAACATTTCAGAGATCGGATACCGCGATATGGTGCTACGACATTCCACAGAATTCTCTATCAAAACAACTTTACATTGGCTAAACTAGTCATTTTATATGTGTGAAGTGACTGTTTTTGAAGTGTCAGGTTCTAGCACCATGAGCTTGCTGCCTTTAAAACAAAACTGGAAACTTTAATGTGTTTTCATACAGAGCATTTCAAGTGGTTGTATGACATTTAGACATTATGAATTGCCTTTGCTGTTGCCTTCTCTGGTTAACGTTTTACTTGCACGTCCATCCATCCATCTTCTAGTGGTTTATCCTGGTCAGGGAGGAGCTCGAGTCTGTCATAGGCAGCAAAGGGCACCAGGCAGGGCTACACCCTGGACTTTGAAGTATAACCCTTGACTTTTTATGGAGAGTAAAACTCTCTTGCTTCCCATTGTTTAGAATATACAAAGCCATTATTTATCGCTGTTTGATTAACAGGGTGGTTTGTGATAACTTTAAAGTGATCTCTATCTGTAGGAATGAAACTATCTGGCATTTCAAGTTAATAGTAAATATTTGAATGTCTAAGTCTTTAAGTATATTTAAGTATATAACAACTGTAAATTCATGTATAGCACAGAGTATGTAAACTTAATTTATTAGTAACACAGAAGCATCATTATGAAAGGTCAATGGTAACAACAATACATTACTACAATGTAACTATAATCTTACCAAGGAATAGAACTGCATTTAAAATATTCCAGTGATATAGAAAGTACAGGGTAGCATCATATGATCATGGCAGAAATGCCTCTTTGTCAACTTATTATGTAATTATTTCGTGCTGTATGTGGCCCAAACTAACATTACAAGCTACTGTGACCAATCACAAATAAAAGCATGTTGGACAACCATTTGTTTAACTGCACATTTTGTGTACAGTAGTAGATAGGACAATTTGTTACTGTGTAGTCAAACAAATGTCTGTTTAATTAGAGTTAGCTGAGCAGGTACACCAACAATGGTACACCAAAAGGTTAAGTGTTTTTTCACGCTTAGTGTGCAATGCAAATAGTATTTGAATATGTAGTAGAAATATGATTACACTAAAATTATGCACATAGAGCAGATAAAGAGGCATACAGACATATAGCCATTTTAATGAAAATATCTTTAAATTGTATTTGTATATTTGGCTTTATAGCCACAAAAACAGGGAACCAGGTAATCTGGTGGAGGCCAAGGATAGAGTGGATAGGATGCATGGCTGTAGGTGGTGCCAGGGAGGGGGGGTGTTAAGGTCACCTGTTGTGGTTCACGGTACTGCAGCTGCATCGGTTTATGGTGCTGCAGCCTCCTCTGCTGGAATGGGTGACCTGTAGCACACAAACAAGGACCGGCTCCTTTTACACATCACAAACCTCTCTGGGCAGACTGCCTTGTGTTCACTTTTACAGGTCACAATGACTGTGTTGGATTCCCATTTACACTAACCAGCCAAATGCTAGTTTTTAACTTTTAAATAAAAAATAATTCAGATGGAGACTACACACCACATTCCACAGACCATTAATCACCATGCATATATATATATATATATATATATATATGCATGGTGATTAATGGTCTGTGGAATGTGGTGTGTAGCCTCCATCTGAATTATATATATATATATATACACACACATACACACACACCCTTCTTTGAGACTTCTCTTCAAGATGGATGGAAGGGATGGGTCAATATCACCACCATAGACTGTGAATTTCATATCCTTGTTGACTAGCATTTCCCAACCAGATGTTCAGGGTCATGTTTTTGCTTCCTCCCAGCACCCAGTAGGAAGCTGAAGTGATTAGCCCTAAAACTGTGGCGACATCAGTACATTTGATGATGCTGTTGGAAGTCTTGCTTCTGTATTGAGGCCTGCAACGCAAATGACCATGTGGTTGTTAACGTGGAGAATTTTCTTCAGATCAACAGGTATCTTTGACTAAGCTCTCTGGAAAGCCAATGTTTGGAATGTATCTCATGGCTTCACTTTAATTTGGAACCAGCACTGAAAATAATATTCAGTTCTCACTATATACAAGTGAAAAAAAACATTTACATTTATATATTTAGCTGATGATTTTGTCAAAAGTGATGTGCATGCAAGGTACTGCAAAGACTGCAAAGCATCCCTGTGTTTTCAGTCCTAACTTTTGCTGATTGATAAACTTTGAGTATCCAAGCAAGGCAATATGGATACTGCCCTAATTATAAGACATTGTTAACAAAATGCTAAACAGCGTCTTTAAGCAGAAACATAAAATATTATATTCTCCCTCATATTGAAGATATATGCAGTAGCCAAAATTTGGTATCAACTTAGTTTATAAGATAAATATTTCTGCATGGGCAACAATTATGTAAATTGTCTTTTATTAATTAACAGAAATATTTTGTCAAATTTGGAGTATAAATTTTATTATGACAATTTTAACAAATAACTAACTGGTCAAAATCGTTAATATATAATTTTTACCTTTAGTCTTAAAATGCAAAGCATCATACACCAGTAACATTTAGTAATTCTAGACCTTCCATGAATAGAACAAAAAGGACACTTTCAAACAGAGTTCCCTACATTGGCAGTCTTATTTCGCGGTCTCTGTAGCGTTCTTAATTTGATTGAGATGGTAAAGAGGATAGTAATACAAATCTAAACTAGCAGGGCATTAATAAAGTAATAAATTTTTCAAATAAAACATTTCACTAGGGGAAACATCTCTATAATTCAGGAACGCACATCTAAAAAATACAACAGCAACGAAAAAACATGTAAGGTAGGAGTCCAGACAATATTATTGTCATAGCCTACTTTTTACGAAAAAAATGGAGCTTGATGATATCCCAATTTAAGTATAACAATAGGTGCATTCATTCATTTGTTCAAGTCAGTCATATGTGATATTGGTTTGCAGTCTCGTAGCCGTAACCTTAGTCATAAAATTTAATTTCGCCATTATTCTGTTACTTTACCCAAAACTTAATTATACATGCCAGTAACAATATATCTCAAGGAATGCTTCACTGGATTTACAAACGATGAAATTACTAGCGAAAAATACAGTACAATAAGCCGCAACTTAAATCATTGTATATTTTTGGTGATTAAAAAAATTATTTAAAAAAACAGTATTTAAAATTTTAATTTTAAGTCCGGATTTCGAAACCGACATTTGAGAAAACATGTCAAAAGTTGCATAACTGTCAACAAAATCACTTCCCGCAGCACCCTCCATTTATTTACGAACAAGTTGAAAAATACAAAAATAAAAATCTAAACACAAGTTTAGAAGTTTATTTTAATTAAAATATTGTTTCTGGAAGTCTTTCTATATGGTTAATCACTGACATGTCCATCCCGAGTGACGCAAAAATCAGAATAAAACAAATTAGGCTAAGTTAAACTGAATAGTCAGCGCTTACTATAATAGGGATCACATATTAAAATTCGCTTGTTCTACCAGAAACATTTTAATCAGAGTAAGATCAACCGTTTTATTCAGCGTGTCTCTACAACCTGCTTGCCTTTACAAATTGCTCTCGACACTCGTTTGCTTTTCGTGGAGCTTTGGAGCCGCTATAGACGTAACTAACAGATCACAGAAAAAATACTCAAGAAAGTTAGTGTATTTACTGTTTTAAGTTGTTATATTTATCTGTAGTTTAAAGCATGAATGCCGTCGTTGATATTGGATAACAACAAAGATTTAACGGCAACGTTTGAAGACATCAAATTAATATAGGTATACGCGGCGGTTTTTATTAGGCAATATAAAATTATATGCACATTTGTGTACCGTTATATCAAAGTAATTTAGTTGAATTGATCCGAGAGATCAAACACTAATTACAATAAAACTTCTTTCTCATATTGTCAAAAGTTACATAGGCCTACATAGTTGTAGGTGGTGCCAGGGAGGTGGGGGACTGTTAAGGTCACCAATTCATGTGTTATACATGACCAGAACAGCAATGATAGTTGCTGCAGCTTTTTGGGTTTAATATTAAAGCAAAAAAAAAAAAAGTGAAATCGCTCATAAATGGCACTAAAAATTGCACGCCTCTGTCAAGTTCATGTAGACTACCGGGAGTTTGATTTTTAACCTGTTGGTGGTGCTAGAGAGAATCATCTTCTAAGAAAAACATTTCCACCTTCTTTTAATTTTACCCAAAATGCTCGACTACCTTCCAGTGACCATGGGACGCGCTTGTAGGACTGCGTTAACGCACTAATAAGTTGGAAAAAGGGAACTTTTAAAGGATATACTTTGGGAACATGGCTCTGAAAGAGGAGGGAGATATTTTCCATTGTAAAGTCAAGCACCAGGACGGCGCTGGTAACGCGAACAGGAACGGCTACGTGAAGAGCTGTGTCACTCCTTTAAAACAAGACCACCGAAAAGGAATTTTATGTAAAGTGTACAGATGTTGTAAGATTGATGTGCTTGGCTCAAAAGAACTGGGAGCTTCCGTGCTTTATGCGGGCGCCTTTGCAGTTTTTGCGGCGTCCCTGCTTACATGTACGTACTTGCGGAGTAGGTACGGCTTCTCAGATCCACTGACTTTTCTTGCAGGCTTCGGACAGCGTATCGCTCCACTTTTCGCAATAAGCCTCGCTTTCTTCTTCCTCACCTTATACTCAAAGAGGAAGAGAAGAGACGGCTTCTGGCTCTGGGTGCTGTTGCCGGCCGTGTGCTTCTTCGGCGACTTCTTGCTCCTGCACTTCTGGCAGGCAGCAGGGGATGATGAGCACCATATGCGTGTGATGGGCAGACTTCTCTCCGTGCTGGCTTGCGTGGGCTCACTCACACTGATCCCAACGCTGAAACTCAAAAACAGCGTCCTGCTTTTGCTCTTCGCTACTTTGGTGTGGTTGCTGTGCCTGTCCTCGCACCTGAGACCCTCGCTGGCTTGCCTAGCCGGGGTCTCCGGTGCTCTGCTGGCTCTCTGCTTCGACCGCCTTTTCCCGCACCAAGATGCGCCGCCGCAGCGGACCCCTGCTGTGGAGGACAAGGTGCCGGTGATCCGACCGAGACGGTCCAGCTGCTTTTCTCTGGGGGAAACATCGGCCAGCTACTATGGCAGCTGTAAATCGTCCCGGAGACCTTCGCTGCCTTGTATTTCCAAAGAGCAGGTAGGTCACGTTGGTAAAACCTTCAAAATATGCGGAAAGAAGTGAAGGCATCGGAGTTTTATTCTCTTATTATATGACTAATATTTGAATAGTGGTTTTCTATCTCCATACATAAAGTGAATAGTTTTCTTGCGTTGAGTATAGTAGATGTTTATTACATAATGTTGCGGCTTGTATTAAAGATCAACTTCAAAGTTTCGCAATAATACTTAATCATAAAACATCATTGTTATTGTTTTTATTGTTGTTGGCAATCAAGGAAAATACAAGCAGTGGTAGGCACGGAGTAAAAAATATATAAAGGTTTTCGTTTGTTCTCTAAACAGGCGGTCGGAAATATATTGGGCTAGCAGTCAGAGCGTTAGTGGCTCCTCGAGATGTTTCGCAGAGGCTGATCTAAAACGATGTTCATATTAAGAATATAAAGCAATTAATTGGTTTAAAAATGTCCAGAAAATAATATATCCAAGTTCAATTCAAAATAACATTTATGCTTAGCGACATGTTAATCTTGCACGATAACATTTTGTTACACTTCTTAAAACTGGCCGCTGGATTTTCGAGTTGTTGCACATTTAATTTTCTACTTTTATTATAACTGAATACCTTTATACTAGCAGACCCGTAGGTTAACAAGTGGTATGATTTTATTTCGAAATGTCAGAATCAAGATGACAGATGGAATAAGGCACATTTTTCCTGTAGGCTAATAAATTTCATATTCTAGCAAAATAAAAAACAACGATTTTATTGGTGATGATACCTAGTTTTAAATATGTGTCAATGGATATATCCTGTCTATACTAACAATGCCATTGTGTTGTACTGCTGCTACTGACGCCAATATAATTAGTAGTATTAATATTTATTTTAATTAAAATAACTCGCTAACAGTGTCAAAAAGTAGAAATGTCTTTATTCTTCGGGTTAGGAGAAACGTTTGCATGACCTTCACAATTTTATCCATTAGTGTAAATGTCTTGATTTATTTAAGACCGTGTCTGGTACACTATGTTTGCCTAACAGTATATTTACGGGTTAGTGAGAACATAATAGTGCTGTGCATGGGAAATAGATGAAGAGCAGGTTACTTTCTCAGGTCATTTTGTTTTTCTCATGTGGCCTGTTCACTAAATTAAGAAAGGTTTCAAACAAATGACTTAAATGGAGATTCTGCTGGTAGGCTATTGGTGACTCAGTAGACTTTCTGAATTGGTCAGTTATAAGTGAGTTACACTATACGTGGTTGATAATCCGTCAATCCATCTCCTACCGCTTTTCCAGGTCAGGTCGTGGGTAAAATTTAGTCCTTAAATGTTATGTGTTTTTTTCTGCAATTTATTTACTTACTGTACAATGTCTACGCAAAAAAAAATGAAATTTGAGGTTTGGGTTCAAAGTGTCCCATGAAACTGTAGCTGGATTTTTTATTATTTTTTTGCCCTGTGGAAAGGAAAATGTTTTCCTGGATCTCCCTGGAGTGTATAAAATCCAGTGTATACTGCATGGTGTTGGCCAGCGGTCATTATCAGACGATGTCATTTAGCTAAAAAACAAGGTTTTCTGAAAGTGAAACATGCTTTTCCTATAGATGACAAAGAGTGAAATGGAAATTATGGAATGTGCTTTTTTTTTTTTTTTTTTTTTTAACAAATTTGGTGGAGAATAGCAGGTGGAGTCTGGCCGGTGGTCTCTCCAAACTCCCACTCTTGGGTGCATCACTTGTCAGTCTCCTGGGGAGCTTTTTTTCTGTGAGCCTGAAGAGGTCATGCTCTTCGTTTCCCAGGTCGTCGGCATGGTGACGGTTTACGCCGTGCCCCCTTCTAAAACTGTGTACAATTAGACACAAAACACACATTTCTGTTATTTTCCCCATTGGATATTTTGTTTGGCAGTTAGCACTGTCCATGAAAATGAGCAACCTCATTATCTAAATGCTGTTAAGATTATTTTGACAATTTGGTTAACTTCTCTGAAGATATCTAAAAGAATAGTACAGCTCAACCCTTTTTTTTCCGATTTCCAAAAACTAGATTTATGGACGGTGCTCACACCAGGGCTGACTGTGTGGAGGTCAGATTGTCAGAGTTCAGAGTGGGGCATCGGCTTGCTGTGTGAGGAGTGGCAAGATGCACAGCAAAGCTCACAGAAAGAGCAAGGTCCAACCCAGCAGAGCTCTCTGCCTGCAGCTGGACATGGTCTCGCACCACCGAGCAACGGGAGGCGTGACGCGCTTAGACGTTAGACAGCTGCTCATTTTTGCCAGTTGCTCCTCCTTTTTTGCTGGTCTGTAGCCTCATTAGATCAAGGTGAATTCAGCTGGATACTGCTTGGGTAGAAGCTCTTTACATTGAAAAAGTTGAAGCAAGGATTTCACTACCTCCGCTAATATTAGTTCAAATCCAAAACTACTTGGAAAAAAATCAGGTTTACTGAAAACCACATCCTAATGCTGCCATGATTTCATGTTCTCAGCTACACACAGCAGGTTTTTAGACAGGAGCTGAAGCAGAACTAGGCAGCAGTATCACATCTGTGATGTTACTCAAAGTTGACTCCGCATGCTTCTTTTAGCAGCCTATAATGCTATGGCTTTCTGATCAGTATCTATGTGGCCTTTTCACACTGTGGTCAGCCTTTTTTTCACAGACAATTTAAACTTTGTGAAAGATCTGAATGAATAATGGGTCGTTCTTTAGATGACTGAGGAGCTTTTTCCATTGTCTTTGTGTTAGTCACGTCACATTGTGAAACCTTTTATTTATATCTCTAATTGTGTCATTTACCTGGTTTGTTCTTCAAGTGTTGCTTGTAAAATTGTTCTTCTTTTCCACTTTGCCCCTTCATCTTTTTTCCATACACATCATAACATTAGGTATACTGGCTCATTATTACCAATGGCCTGCTCCTCTAAAAAGCAAATCATTTGGCTGAAACAATATATTCATCATCCAGACAGGGTTCAGAGGCTCAGTTGTTATGTGGTAAGCATTATAACAGCTAAAATGTGAGATCATAGTGGTTTTTAAGCATGCTGTGATGTGTTGTTGGTGCCAGATGTCATGGTTCTAGCATCCACACACACATACACACACACACACGCACACGCACGCACACAAATAGAAAGTACCAACATACCCGTATATTTTCATATTTTCTGGTTTGAGAAACGACTCTAACTTCTTTTTTTCACGCTTCATTTAGATACAAATTGTTAAATATGATAGCATGTAGAAAATTTTGAGTTTTTTTTAGATTGTAGTTACATAAATTGCATAAGCATGTGTAAGGTCATAAATGTATTTCTCCTTTCGGCGCTTACACATTCAAACTGGATTTAGCGAGTTAGGACTATCTAGTACTACACTATGGCCTAATATTTTATTGGCAATATTTACCCTGATGATAACAATACATCGGCTAACAAGCTAATCAGATGTTGAATGTTTTGCAGTCTGTTTCTCATATTGCCATACCTCTAAGCTGCATGGTTGTGTGGCGAGTTGCAAAGCATATTGTATTGAGGCTTTGTTTGACATACAGAGGACAGTAACACATGTGGTGATGTTCGGGTGCCTCCCGGGTGCTTCTGGTTTCCATGCCTGAATAAACAGGACAGCCAGACCGTGGGCTTGCTGTCGGCCAGATCACAGCGAGACTCAATACGCATCCACACACACACACACGCAGCGTAACTGAGCTGATTTTAAAGTAAGCTTTCTGCTACTGGTCTTCTGCACATTTAAGTGTGTTGTTTATTAGTTGCCTTGAGTTCAGAGTATGCATGACTTCAGCACCTGCTACGCTTTCTTGACAGAACGCAAGCTTTTGCCATTGCCTGCTCACCACACCCCTCCACCAATCAGTTTGAAAGGACCAAAATGCGGTCGGCGCTACGCAAAAGGATTAGCAGACTTTATAGGCTCTGGATCCTAGCAACCACAGGATAACACTCCCCTGTGTGTGAGCGTCACCTTTGATGTCAGAAGCCGGCCTTGTTTGTTTGCCTCTTTTGTTTTGTGGGATGTTTCACGTCGGGTGGCAGGCTTGGTGTGCCGTACCAGTACCGCAGGACGCCACAGTATGGTGTTTCAGTGAGGCTACTGGTCTGCAGAAATGGCTTAGCTTACTAACCATTCACCCAATCTCAAAAAAAAAAAAAAAGTTGATGGGGTGGGGGGATTTGGCTGTTGATTACTTTAAAGCAATGCAAGAAGGCATAAGGCCAGGGTTTAACCAAATGCGAGTCAAACGATTCCTGTTTTTCAAGTCTGACTGTAATCCATTGTTCTTCACTTGTTTTTCATGATATTTGTCATGCCTTTATGCAAAAAGGACATGATGAATACAGTGATATTTTTGGTAGTTTAAAAAAAATAAACTGAAATTGTGCTTGAAAATTTTCAGGTTCAGAACTGGGCGAGAGACTGCTCTTAGGAAAGTACTTGGTACCTGATTTTTGGTTAAATTTCAAGCTAGATATGGATGAAATGGGTAAGGTCTAGCTAGACATGGTAAAGTGTAAACTCTGGAAGTTGCAGATAAACCCGTCGCAGTGCTGATTGTCATTTGGTTAATGACTTTGCCGGTTGTCTAATGTTGTGGTAAAGGCTTTCTGTCAGTTCATCCTCGTGGCAGCATGTGATTGTGGTTTTGGCCGTGCTTTGGTTGCTCACGTCACATCTTTCATGCGTTTAATCCCGGGGGGGGGGTGTTTGTAGCAGGTGTTTGTCATTTCTGAGCATGGTTTACACTGCCGACTGCCTGGACTGTGTCAGCTTTAACTCCAGTATCTGGGGGTGATGTAGGCGTAAACGGGTTGGTATATCAGCCCAGCTGATCCCTGCAAAGCACCCTGGGTAATTGACAGCACCCAGTCATATCACATTATTAAATAAAGCAATGCACTCAAAAATAAATGTTTAATTCCAGAGATATAGCAGAGATATTGAAGATCTTGAATATAGCTGAACAGAATTCTGATGTACAAGCAGCTAATT